GCAGGGGGCCTCGGCTGCTGGATTGCTGGAATGCGGCGAGGAAAGGAATCTCTACTGTCCTATTGTTCCCTTGTTTCCTCGGTCTCATCACACATGCCGGCACGTCCAGTTCACTCACAGGTAAGCAGCGCTAATCAGTCTCGGCATTCTTTTCCACAGACACACATTTTTTCCTCTGCTACGACCCTGGCTGACCAGCAACACAACATGCCAAACCTCACAAACACGAGTGAGGATTTATCAAAGGACTGGTAAAGACAGGCTCATGGTTTGTTTTGTTTTTGTCTTCCCTCAGATGTGAGTAAAACTATGGCGAATGATGGTGAAATGAGTGTCACAAATAAGTTATTGAGACTACTAATAAAAAAGACGTGGTCAAAAATGTACGTTTGCTTGTAGAAATAAACTTGGTTTAAACAGCAAAAGAAACCCTTTTTATTTCATTTTACTTCCATTTAAATTTAGTTTTTAATCAAATTAGATTGTTACACCTCCAAAATTACATGCATGAAAGAGTTCCAATTTAAATAAGTTTGTGTTCAAACCTTTGATTGGTAATGACCATTTTTTTCACTTTGTCACCCCTTTAAATGAGTAATACTTTCTCAGCTTGTAAATAAAACATGTCACGTTTTGTCTTCCACTGTAACGTCATCATCATCATCATCATCATCATCATCATCATCATCATTATCATTGCATTTCAGCGCTGCACCACAAGGCAACACAATCAGCTCCAATCAAGTGAATGTTCTCCTGTTCAAACTTCATCAGGAAGACCTCAGCTTTGATCGCCTCTCCTCCCCACCTCAGTCTCGTCCTGTGAGGGTGAGGGGTCACCTTTTAATGAGCTACAGGGTGGACAAGAGTATGTGTGTGTGTGTGTGTGTGTGTGTGTGTGTGTGTGTGTGTGTGTGTGTGTGTGTGTGTGTGGGTGGTGTTGGGTTTTTGTGGGGGGGGGGGGGGGGGGGGGGGATTGGAAAAAAACAAAAGGAGTATGATTAAAAAAAACATCAACCAATAATGTACACATCTATCTGCATCTGCCAAGTCCGGCATCCTTACATAACCCTTTTTTACCTTGATCATATTCTGAAAGGACAATTCTCTCATTCGCTCAGGACCCCCCCCCACCACCACCACCACCACCCTCTCTCGTTCTCTCTCTCTCTCTCTCTCTCTCGCCACCAACCTTCCAGTGGTCCAGCCCCACTCCACCCAGGGAGATCCCCAAGCAGTGCTGGAACACGCTGTTATCACCACATTCACAAAACAATTGTTAGGTAATTCCTGTTTATAGCCGCCCGCTCTCCCCTCAATGTGTGAGAGCTGTTTTCTCCATCAAGCTTCCAGGACAGCCGTCAAAATGCAGCGTTTACAAGCTCTGCGTGCCATTTGAATGTGTGCGAAGTTTCTCCTCAGACTTCAAAAGAATTCTGACAACATGCAAAAGCAGTTGGACGTTTATTAAAGCACCAGCAAATGGAATTAACTAACCACAAAATCCTATGTGACATTAATGAATGAAATAAGAACATACAACCAGAGACAGAAAAAAAGTGAATCATAGAAAATGATCACATAAAGTTGATATAATGCCCGCACTGGCAGCTATAGCTTCAAATCACATCAAATCATATTTAGTCTTCCTATACTGTAAAAAAAGTTTAATAATGTAGTAAAGTAACTTATGGTTGTTAGCTGATGTGAGACATGAGGCCAGAGTGTCGGGCCTGGTTTCTACCACCTGCTCCAGGTAATTGATTGGCGCATATAAAATGATTGAGTTTCTTTAATTAGCTAACGAACATTTCTCCTCAGAGCTTGCCAAGCGGCGCTAACTCCCCCAACGGCGTATTATTAGTCTCAGCTGAACTGCACCATCAGCACTGCATTGACTTCATATCTCCTCAGACATCATAACGACACACAAATCAGTTTGATGTAAACTTTTTTTTTTAATTTAAACTCAGCAATATGTCATTTATCTCAGAGCGGTTGGGGGAAAATTCCTTGCATTTGACAGCTAAGAGTGTACACTCTGCTGAGTGCTTTTGTTTTGTGTATACACACTAAAACACACTCGGTCCGGCCTGACGAGCACATACTGCCCTTTCCAGCACACAAACACACTCACAATCTATAAAAATATGCTTAGCTTGGGACTGCTCTGTTGATAATGACCTCAGCCTTGGCACCGTACTGAGCCAGACCAGACTGCCGACAGACTGGGGGCTTTTGTGTTGACTCTCTATCTCTAACTCCATGACCTTTAAGGGGAAGAAGAAAGTAGAATTGCCTTTTTTTATTATTTAGAAGGGGTAAGGCTTGCTCATTGTTCTGTATTGGTACAGTTTCCCGGTGGTAAACACACTGCTGTTCCCAGGCTTAATATGTTGCTGCAAAGCCCCCACCCCCACCAGCACCACCTCTGTCCATCCAACCCTTGGTGTTCCCACACTGCTCTGTCTGGGTCATAGCATTGGTACCGCCCTCTCAATACACAATCATTCAAAAACTTTATGAATTATAAAATTCTTCCCAAGTGGGATGGTTTGTGAACCAATGATTTAATATTRATAATAATAAAAATAAAAACAAGAGAAAATCCCCTGAGGTGTCCAACCCTCAGAATAAACTCACAACAAGGGTCTGGACGTTTTTTCGCTGCCCGAGACAAGAGGCCATTCTTCAAGTGGGTGACAACAGTGCCCAAACAAACCACTAACCTCATCAGCCCTCTGTTTACAGCCTAGAGCCTGAGTCCTGAACGACTCATTAACATCAGAGACCTTCCAAAAGGCTCATTTTCACACATTGTTGATGGATGAGGGGTCCTGGATATTTCTGCAACTGACCGTTACCATCCCTGCTGTAACACATGCACTTTGTTAAAAAAAAAGAAAAATCTATCACACCTCGACATGCCACATTAATATGAGTGAAGACACAATTTTTTTCTTTGATTTTACATCCAGCTGCACATTCTTTGTCAGATCAATCACATTATTGCTTGATGAAAATATGTTGCCTCTTCTTCATCCCAAAACTATCTAAAAGTTTGTCTGAAATTGTTCGTTTAATACATGATAAAAAGCTAATTTAATGGTATCAATCCAACAATGTAACACACTTACTTTCATTAACAAAAAAAATAAAAGGGGGGGTGTAATTCCTTGAAGGAATGCATATCCCCCTGTGCCATGCATGCCAAGGTTTTAATGAAGAACTCATGGTGACATGACAATCACATGACAATCACAAGTTTTACAGCCATGATGAGATATGCTGTTAGCAGACACAAGATTGACTTCAACATTTAATGCTAAAGATCACACTTATCTGTCAGCACTTGATATATGTGATGGGGAAAACAGACAGCAATGCCAAAGACATTTTTAGATGATAATTTGTGAGACTGACTGAGTTCTGTTCATTTTTGTTAAATTTAGTTGGCTGTAGAGGTCATCTTGAACCAGGTGGACTTAAGAAATTAGTCAGTCATAGATGTGCATCCGGTGGGTACTTTCAGAGGGTCTCTTTAAAATCTGTGAAGTGGTTCATGAAATGTTTTGCTAAGAGACAAACACACACACAGAAACACGTGGAATTTCATGACCCCCCATACACAGGCAGATCAGTGTTGGTAATTATGTTTTATTTTTATTTAATTAGCCTACTTCCTGTCTTTGAGTTAATGGTGTATTTTTGGCTGGTTCAAGTTCAAATCAACAATTATTATGGTCAGATAAAGAGAAAAAAAAGAAGAATCCCGCCTGGAAACCTGATGATTCTTGACCGCATCATCTGAAGATTTTTAAATCACGGAGCTTTGAAGCMAAACGGAGCGCGTGAACGGTGGAAAGACGAAAAAATGGGGGCTGGGGGCTGCTCCAGGGCCGTTTAATGGGGGTCTCCATTTCACTTCCCCACCCACCCCCTCAACCCCTCTCACCTCACCTCTCCAATGGGCCGATCTATTAACCGTTTTAATGAGCTCCGCCAGACAAACGCGAGATGCAGCATGGCCCATTGAACAATGTGGAGAAGGACGACGCGCTGCTCCGCTCGGAAGGACACACACACACACACACACACACACACACACACACACACACACACAC